AGCAAAGTGTGAGTCGCTTGGAGAACATGAACCGGTTTTCTTCTTTTTTGCTGTTTTTCCTCCTGAATCATCTCATTCTTAACTAGTCCTTACTAAATCAGCCATTCCAAAAAAGATTTTAATCAAGTGATGAAGACTATTATTAACAGACCTTTTTTATCACATTTCAGCGAGAACGCTGAGAGTTCCGATGATGTGTCCGAGGAGAGAGCTGTTCCCTGATATGGAAAGTGTCATCTGTGAAAGTCGCTGAGATTCTAGGGAGGAAATAGCAAAACTTACCGTATAAGCAGTAGCGCCTGCTGCAAGTGCATTACCGTAATAGCCGGCACGCATGCCATTATAGTACTGCGGATTGTATGCGGAGTAGTCGAAACTGGTCGGATACGAGCTACCTAAAACATAAGAACAACTCTAATTTGGCTTTATTTATGAGTTTCAATCGTTCCCACGAAGTTAGGCAAAGTATGTCCCTGATATGAGTCCACAGCAAAACAGATAAAGAAGCGTGCTTATTCAAGCTAATAAAGTGAGAGCAGTTTTGGTTGTTAAAGAGAACAGTTTACCATTTCTATGGAAGCAAGCTATGAGTTGAAAAGGACTAAATTCTGGTTCCCAACAAAGCCTTTATATTGAAATAGATGATAGGACAATCCTGAAAGTACTAAAAAGGCCGTAGTGTTTTGGTGTACAATAAGGGTCGAGATTCCACTAAATGGTAGGAAATGCTTTTATGGTCTTCTTCACTTGTCATGCTCTACTGAAGCTCGATGTGAGTTTAGGCACAGAAGCTAAACATTTGAGTCGAATTTCCTTTTGTATTTAATTAAAACAGACAGCTTTCTTCGTGTTTTATGAGGAATTCGGATCACTATCTGTCCGTGAATCCTCGTACAAGTTTGAACAATCTTTCAATGATGAATAGATTTCTAAGAAAAACAAATTATAAATTGTGAAAACAAATAAATTTCGCAAAGATCAACATAGAAAAACGACGTTAAAACGGCAACAACGAACACGCGTGTTATATCGTATGTACTAAGCTTAACTTTTATAAGCGCATATCTTTACATTTCTGCGTTTCTAAAGATAAGCAGAATGAGCATTCGAAACAAAAACATTTCCGACACTAAGATTTGGAGAGTTAAGAACAAAGGCTAAAAGTTGAATATTGAAATAGGTTAAATAAAACACATTACATAAAATTCTTTAAAACCCTTATGCTTATTTATGTTACTGATAAAAAGAGTCTAGATCATTGAGCTCTCGTAACATACGCGCAGTTAATTAAACATCATTTTCCCTCAAGACCTGAATTTATTAGCTTTATTGGCCTAAGTGAAATCAAGGAGAATTAAATTTCTACCTTAAACCTTCAAAACTCACAAAAGCTTTACGGTTTTGCAAGTGTATCCTACCTGTTACCGTTAGATTACTGCGCATTTCCGTTTTGTAAACACAAATTGCGTAAATTGCATAAACATTGGACAGTAAACGATAAACAAATGATCTGGTGCGTGAGAAAAACTGCGCACTTACCGTAGTATGACGGCGTCGCCGTGCCTA